CCGTGTCAAAAGCTTTGCTAAAGTCAAGAAACAGATGGTCATGGGGAAAAGAAATGTCACTTAGGAGTTTTTGAAAATATTACCCTAAGTGTCTCATGGACTGGTTCCCATACCACTGCCTGGCCTCCTTGTGACAACTACAGCTGCTGCTTCCATGGAAAGGGAAGTAGGAAAGCATCTAGGTATTTTTAACTGTCTTTAACACAATAAGTGTTTTGTCCTTTTTGGAAAAAAGGGTAATGACACTGTCCCCTTTCATTTCTTTTCCCCATGACCATCCTTTCTCTCTCCTGATCCTCCTGTACATCCTTCACTGTAACTATGTCAACTTTTCCTCCTCTATCCTTGCACATGCTTTCCTTTCCTCTGCCCCTTCCTTTCCCCCCGTACACGCTTCTCCTTTCCCCTTGATTCTCCCTGCACATGCGCTCCTAGACATCACTTTCCTTTCTGCAAACAAAGCAAACGAGACATGAATGGTTACAAGCATTCCTGGGAAACAAAAAGGCTCACAAATATGAAAGCAAATTAATTTTTGTCAGTAATTCAGTGCAGCATTTGCACAGCTCTATTCAAGGTGTATCCTATTCTTTAAAAAGAAAAGAAAAGAAAAGGGGAGAGAGAGAGAAAGAGAAAGACGACGAAGACAAATCCCCAAATCCAGTAGAATTCTATCACCTCTCTCTCTGGAGTCTGTATTGTTGGATATCTTAAATGAAAGAAAGTAAAGAGATTATTTTCTTTTGAAGCCAAAAGGTCTATCTTTAGGCATGTATTAATTAAAACCTGTACAGTGGAACCTCTTATAACGAAGCTTCTTATTCACAGAACAAAGCAGAGGTTCACTACACTCAGACTTGTTATTTGCATATTGCTACGCACTGAAAAAAAATTGAACACAGTCACTCTGCTTCATTATAAAGAGAAAAGGAGTACTTGTGGCACCTTAGAGACTAACCAATTTATTTGAGCATGAGCTTTCGTGAGCTACAGCTCACTTCATCAGATGTTTACCGTGGAAACTGCAGCAGACTTTATATACACACAGGGAATATGAAACAATACCTCCTCCCACCCCACTGTCCTGCTGGTAATAGCTTATCTAAAGTGATCAACAGGTGGGCCATTTCCAGCACAAATCCAGGTTTTCTCACCCTCCACCCCCCACACAAATTCACTCTCCTGCTGGTGCTAGCCCATCCAAAGTGACAACTCTTTGCATAATCAAGTCGGGCTATTTCCTGCATAGATCAAGGTTTTCTCACATCCCCCCACCCCCCATACACACACAAACTCACTCTCCTGCTGGTAATAGCTCATCTAAACTGACCACTCTCCAAGTTTAAATCCAAGTTAAACCAGAACATCTGGGGGGGGGGGGGGTAGGAAAAAACAAGAAGAAACAGGCTACCTTGCATAATGACTTAGCCACTCCCAGTCTCTATTTAAGCCTAAATTAATAGTATCCAATTTGCAAATGAATTCCAATTCAGCAGTTTCTCGCTGGAGTCTGGATTTGAAGTTTTTTTGTTTTAAGATAGCGACCTTCATGTCTGTGATTGCGTGACCAGAGAGATTGAAGTGTTCTCCGACTGGTTTATGAATGTTATAATTCTTGACATCTGATTTGTGTCCATTTATTCTTTTACGTAGAGACTGTCCAGTTTGACCAATGTACATGGCAGAGGGGCATTGCTGGCACATGATGGCATATATCACATTGGTGGATGTGCAGGTGAACGAGCCTCTGATAGTGTGGCTGATGTTATTAGGCCCTGTGATGGTGTCCCCTGAATAGATATGTGGGCACAATTGGCAACGGGCTTTGTTGCAAGGATAAGTTCCTGGGTTAGTGGTTCTGTTGTGTGGTATGTGGTTGTTGGTGAGTATTTGCTTCAGGTTGCGGGGCTGTCTGTACAGGACAGGCCTAACAAAGAAAATAACAGAACGCCACTAGCGGTCACCTTCAGCCCCCAACTAAAACCCCTCCAACGCATTATTAAGGATCTACAACCTATCCTAAAGGATGACCCAACACTCTCACAAGTCTTGGGAGACAGGCCAGTCCTTGCCTACAGACAGCCCCGCAACCTGAAGCAAATACTCACCAACAACCACATACCACACAACAGAACCACTAACCCAGGAACTTATCCTTGCAACAAAGCCCGTTGCCAATTGTGCCCACATATCTATTCAGGGGACACCATCACAGGGCCTAATAACATCAGCCACACTATCAGAGGCTCGTTCACCTGCACATCCACCAATGTGATATATGCCATCATGTGCCAGCAATGCCCCTCTGCCATGTACATTGGTCAAACTGGACAGTCTCTACGTAAAAGAATAAATGGACACAAATCAGATGTCAAGAATTATAACATTCATAAACCAGTCGGAGAACACTTCAATCTCTCTGGTCACGCAATCACAGACATGAAGGTCGCTATCTTAAAACAAAAAACTTCAAATCCAGACTCCAGCGAGAAACTGCTGAATTGGAATTCATTTGCAAATTGGATACTATTAATTTAGGCTTAAATAGAGACTGGGAGTGGCTAAGTCATTATGCAAGGTAGCCTGTTTCTTCTTGTTTTTTCCCTACCCCCCCCCCCCCCCCAGATGTTCTGGTTTAACTTGGATTTAAACTTGGAGAGTGGTCAGTTTAGATGAGCTATTACCAGCAGGAGAGTGAGTTTGTGTGTGTATGGGGGTGGGGGGGATGTGAGAAAACCTTGATCTATGCAGGAAATAGCCCGACTTGATTATGCAAAGAGTTGTCACTTTGGATGGGCTAGCACCAGCAGGAGAGTGAATTTGTGTGGGGGGTGGAGGGTGAGAAAACCTGGATTTGTGCTGGAAATGGCCCACCTGTTGATCACTTTAGATAAGCTATTACCAGCAGGACAGTGGGGTGGGAGGAGGTATTGTTTCATATTCCCTGTGTGTATATAAAGTCTGCTGCAGTTTCCACGGTAAACATCTGATGAAGTGAGCTGTAGCTCACGAAAGCTCATGCTCAAATAAATTGGTTAGTCTCTAAGGTGCCACAAGTACTCCTTTTCTTTTTGCGAATACAGACTAACACGGCTGTTCCTCTGAAACCTATTATAAAGAGAGTGTCACTACATCTGGGTTAACTATACATGGATCCATAGTCTCAGTAGGATCCATAGTATCATACATGGATCCATTAGTCTCTAACTCAGAAAAGTCTCAATGCAAAATTAGGGAGGGTGGGAAGCCAAATTGACCAAAACCGAATACATAATTTACATTTATTTCTGTGTAAAGGGAAAGTGCTTGAATTTCCCTCAGCCCTACCTAGAACTTTCCTCATCATTCCAGACACTTATTCAGAGCGCAGACTGTCCATAGCGAAGGAGTAGCCTAAAACCTCGGTCTGATCAGCAGATACAAGTGCCTGAACTAAAATGTCTTTGCATTCTCTGTATCTAATATTTACTCTTTAGCTAGCTGTCTGTTCAATATCTCTCTGTTAGGGTTAACATTTATGAAGAGTATTTGATAACGTTTGCACACTGAAATTGGTTCATCTGACAGCAACGATTCCATGTTGGCACGGCAGGGCAGTAAGAATACCTGGCAAGGACTGATTTAATTTCAATATTGCCAAAGAGATGAGAAAGTAGGACACAGTGGAAATAATGGCTATGATGCTGATGAAATCAGCTCTTCAGCCACTATTTGCTCTTCTTCACTGAAGGAGGCAATGAGGATTAATAACAGATGGAAAAACACAGCAACATATCCCAGAACATTTTGAACAGAAATCAGATAAGAGGGGAAAGCTAATGTGTAACCCAGATTAGGCAATGGTGGGAATAATATAGGAAGCAAATCATCATTTTGAAATCAGACACAAAGCATGGGAAACCAGACTGGGATCCTCTGCACGGACTTGTGAGCAGGTTTGAGAGGTGTGTGCTTTCTGTGTACCCTTCAAGTGGCTGTAGCCAGGTGGGATTAATTGGGAAACATGCCTATCCCTTTGTCTTTGCGTGTACAACCAGTGTCTTAGGGAGGAAAAAGCAAACAAACAACTTCCTAGAGTTCCTAATGGCTGCACAGGTGGCAGTCAAAAGTCTGCCTGAGGTAAACTTCTGCTACCTCTATCTCTGGAGTCTATATTGCTGGATAGCCTAAAACGAAAGATCGGAAAGAGATTCTTTTCTTCTGAAAGCTCAAGTTCTATCGCTAGGCCTGTATTAGTTTCCAAAACCATGGCAACCCTACTCTACTGCAGATAAAACCTGACAAAGGGCCCACACCTAATTATTAGAAGAATGCCTTTACAGGCTAGCTTTAAAAATGGTTTAAAAGTGAGGAGAGTGGTCACTTTGGATGGGCTATTACCAGCAGGAGAGTGAGTTTGTGTGTGTGGGGGGGGGGGAGGGGGCGGAGGGTGAGAAAACCTGGATTTGTACTGGAAATGGCCCAACTTGATGATCACTTTAGATAAGCTATTACCAGCAGGACAGTGGGGTGGGAGGAGGTATTGTTTCATGGTCTCTGTGTGTATATAATGTCTGCTGCAGTTTCCACGGTATGCATCCAATGAAGTGAGCTGTAGCTCACGAAAGCTCATGCTCAAATAAATTGGTTAGTCTCTAAGGTGCCACAAGTACTCCTTTTCTTTTTCCAGGAACAAATTTGCTCTTAAATGTAGCAGTGTATCTGTAGTAAGCAGGGAAGGGAAAGGGGTGAAAGGTTACAAGAACATGAGCTGGTTTTTTATCTGGCATTACTATGGGCCCATATGCATAACAGAAAGTCACAGTCCAGGCCAGTGAATGTGTAACAGAAGACCATGCTATGCTTGGTTAAAGGTTGTGTATTGATCTGTAAACCCACCAATGGGTCTAGTGTTCAGCCATGCTCATGTTTCATCTGGTCCCATCTGGTCTGATCTAGTCTCCACTCACCGCTCCACTTGGTGATGCAATGTAGCTCTGTGGAACAGCACTGGAAAGGGTCTTCCCTTTCAAAAAGGCATAAATGTGCCAGCAGTCATGGTAGAGTGCTTCAGATACAGCAGGTGCTGAGAGGAGCCGGGTTTGCGGAAGATACCATAAGAGAGCAAGGTGAGACGAAGGACAAAGACTAGCAAACCTGTTGATTGAATAGATGGTTTTGCTTTGAATGTTAATTTTTAAATGACTCTTTAGCGCTGGTGAAAGTTTCTGGACTGGCATCCGCAGAGAGTGAAATCTTCTCTTTCAGATACAGGCACAGCCTCAGTGCTCATCTGGAGGAAGTAATGCTATGGATTTGGCTGCACTAGGAAATGGTCTTACTGGTAACAAGGGTGGCCAGCAATGGATCTGTGACAAACTCGGAGAATGTCTGTACTGTTTTTTAATGAATATTGAGTGTGACCATCTCCCTGTTCAATTTGGTATAGTTACCTGCCTGAATGCAGAGTTAAATCAAAGAAGGCTGTAAAGGGGGGTGGTTAAGGAACCCAGGATATGTGAAACAACCCCTCAGAAAAGACATCCCCTCAGGGTATGTCTACTCAGTAAGTGAACACTCATGGCTGGCCTGGGTCAGCTGCCTTGGGTTTGGATCGCAGGGCTGTAAAACTGCTGTATAGACATCCAGGATGAGGCTGGAGCCCAGCCCCTGGGATCCCCCCCCTTGCGGGGTCCCAGAGCCCCAGCTCCAGCTTGAGCCCCAACGTGTACACAAGAATTTTACAGCCCCTGAGCCCCATAACCTGAATCAGCTGACTTGGGCCAGATGTGGCTTTGCTCAGGGGCTTTTATTCCAGTGTAGACATACCCTCAAGTATGCAACCTCAAAGGATTTAAGGTAACAATAGCTGGCTCCATTCAGGGTAAATTGGGGTATCTTCCCCAAGGCTAAGCCTGGATAAAAGGAGACCAAAGAAACCCTGAAAGGGATTAGAAAAGGGAGGGGGTTTGGATGAGTGAGAGGGGCTGGCTGGCTGGCCAGGATGTGCCAGTGAAAAGGCTCACAGGCTGACAGAGAGACAAAAGGAAGGCTGCAAGCAGCATAGGCTGCTTCTTCTAAGTCAGAGCCACCTAAGCTACAGGTAGAGAGAGAGGTTCAACTTAGGTAAGGACATATACGTCAGGACTCTATGTTGGTTTAAGCCTACTTCTTTAAGAGCTGTGTACTTTTGGGGCAAAATAAATCAGGCTTTGTTTTGAAGAAGTGTTTTCTATCTCACTGTAAGCACATGCTGGCACAGGCTCCCACTGATCTCAGAGTCCAAGGACAGCTGGACCTAGAATTAGACATGATTAGTACCAGGGCCTATAACTCAGGCCCTGTTCTGACAGTGGATGAATTGCAGAATTCCAGTCCGGGAGTAGCCTGCTGTGTGTGTGGGTGGGGGGCGCGGGGGTGCACCTGGAAAGACGAGGAGAAGGGACACAGTATAGCTAGCCTGGTAATCACATGCCCCAAGGCAGAAGACAGTTTTACTGCTGGTGTAGATGGGACAAAATTGTTTTCACCATGGGAAAGGATTCTTAAAACTTGGTTTCTAACGGGCCAAAGTCCTATTAGAAGTAAGGTCTAGAGATGGAATGGCAGTGCCCTTTAATTCTTGGCCTTTCTGTTGCAATTGCCTACTGATCACCTGGGAAATGCTAAGGAGATGATCTGGCTGGAAATACATTCAGCACAGCTGGAGAAGTAGCTATGCCTTTTATGAAAAGAAAAGCAGGAAAGCATCTTGTTCAGTTTAGTTGCAAGAAGTCTGCTACAATTTACTAAATAATCCCATAAATTTGATGCCCTAGAGATTTAGCTGTGTCTTGTTTGAAACTCTGGGATGGGAAGTTTGCTTTGAGCACCATCAACTGATTTAAACCAAAAGCTGATGCTGAAGGAAAGAAGGAAGGAAATGTTGCAGTTCTGAAGGCCATGACTGGACTAATAAAGGATGTAGTATGCTAGCTAAATAGGGAGAAAGAATAGATGTGTATTTTAGGCATAGAACTGGGAGTCAATAAAGCTGGGTTCTATTCCAGTCCTCTTCCCCAGACTTGTGTGACCTTGAGCAAGTCCCTTCGGGCCTGATTTTCAGTAAGTAGGCAGGCGTGAAAATTTCCAGCTACTCTATTGTGCATGAGCAAATCCCCAGCTTGCACACACGTAGCTAGAGAGGTGTACACAACTGGGGATTTAAATGAACTTGTTAGCGTGCAGGCAGACACGGTAGTGCATCTGTCTACTGGTGTGAATTTTAGTTTGTAGTTAGAAGAAAAGGAGTACTTGTTTTCTCATCTTGCACCATTCATGAGCCCTGCAGAGCCAGGAAAGGGCTAGAAGATGGACACAATTCTGAAACCCTTGCTCATGTTAAGTTGTATTATACCCCATAAGTGGTTCTACTGAAATCAGCAGAAACACTTACGGAGTAAGGCACTGCTTGTTGTGATGAAGGGTGTGAGAATCTAGCCCTAAATAAAAACATTTTGAAGTATGATGGATGTTACTATCTTGCAAATTCACAAATTATCACACGTTTTAATATGAAACATGCAAGTTTCCAATCCACAGCTTCAAATTTAAAGACGACGCTCCAAAAATTCAGAAACAGGCAAAATTTGGTATATGAGTAAAATTTGTAAGAACACATCAGTATTGGGTATGCATGTGTCTCTCTCTCTCCTATTCTTGAGCTCTCCTATTGTTGAGTTCTCCTATTCACAGAAATCCAGAGTGAACTCACACAGTGAAATTTGATTTCTAGTGAAGTAAAACGAGTCGAAAATTGTCTCAGTACAAGATGGAAATTGCTAATCCAGTATAGCAAAACATTGTTCATGACTTCTAGAACAGCAATTGTTAGAGGGAAGTAATGTGGAAAAAAATATCCCAACATCTGCTAATGCTGAAGTTTCCACGGAAGGAGAGAGAGAGAGAACACAACCCATGTCAGACACATGTGAGAATTACCGAGTGTGTGTACTGCATTTTGAAAATAAGTGCTAATTACTATGATGATTAGATACACAGAGGAGAAAGACGGTACAGTGCTGGGGGAGGGGAAGGGGAGCAGCAGGGTGGGAGTTCAGAGACCTGGCTTCAATTCCCTGCCTTGCCACAGACTTCCTGTATAAGCTTGGGCAAGTCACACTCTCTCTGTGCCTCAGTTGTCCATCTGTGAAAGGGGGTTAATAGCACTTCCTTACCTCACAGGAGTGTTGTGAAGATACAGACATTAAAATGAGATGCACTCAGATGCTACGTGCCTGGGGGCTATACGAGTACCAGTGACACACACTGGGGATGGGATCTTCAAGAGCACCCAGCATCTGCTCCCATTGAGCTCAATCGATATTTTACCATTGTTTTCAGTCACAGCAGAGTTAGGCCAATACTAAACTCTTTTGAAAACTCCCACCCATCTGATTTCCTGACCTGTGAGGAAAAGCAATATTAACATTTCACACTGCCTGTGAGAGGAACAAAGTAAATGGCATGTTAATTAGCTAACCCTTCCCCCACTTACTTACTTTTTTTTTTTTTTTTTTCCCAAACAGACTTTGCTGAAATTGTTCTTCAATATGAATCCAGGAGTGAGCCTCCTGTGTTTCTTCCTGTGCCTGAGCCCCGTCGTGTGTGACCGGGTGTACGTCCACCCCTTCCATTTGTTTTCCTACAACAAAAGCAGCTGCGAGAAGCTGGACAACTTGACACAGGAGGAGAAAATGTTTGTCCCCATTTCCATTGAGTCCCAAACCATCCCTGCCTATGAAGAGAATCTGAAAGACAAAACCAAGCTGGGAACACAAAGCTCGGATACCAAGCGTGACCAAAAGCTGAGCTACTTGAAAGACCTAGTGCATGTCCTTGGTATGCGCTTCTATGGGGCGCTGAAGGAAACACTGAAGGGGGAAAACATTCTCCTGTCACCTACCAATCTCTACAGGTCTTTGTTGTCATTCTACTTAGGGGCCTCCGAACACACAGCAGCTGATTTACAGAACTTCTTGGGGTTCGTTCCCCCCTCCGGTGACCCAGACTGCACCTCCAAAGTGGATGGACAGAAAGTCCTTTTGACCCTGAAGACCATGGATGACCTGCTCCTCTCAAGCGGAGCTGATGATCTGCTTTTTACCAAGCTTTCCTGCCTCTTCTCTGCTCCCAGTGTGCGTTTATCCAAATCACTCGTGCACAGTCTGGCCCCTTCTGCCGATTATTTTTATGCCCGAGCTGTTGACTTTACGAACCCAAGTCAGGCAGCAGAACTAATCGAAAACTTTGTGAAGGGCAAAGATGCCAGCAGAACCCAGAATGTACTGACAAACATAGACCCGTCTACCACCCTGCTGTTTGTGACTTACATTCAGTTTAAAGGTAAGAACGACGAGAATTAATTTCAATGGCAATCTCAGGGGGGCAGCTAATAACCTCCAGATTCATTGGTTTCTGCAAGCCAGCACATTTTGTACCTCACAGCTCTCCCACCTTGGGCTTCGCTTTCTTAGGTTAAGCAGGATCAGGCCTGATCAGCAGCTAGATGGAAGACCTCAGCTGAAAACCTAGAGTGCTGCAAGATGTGGCCTTAGTATTACACTTAATAAATAATAATAGCCATACTGTTTGTATTGTTGGTAGAGCAAGTTCCTCTTTGTGCTTGGCGCTGTACAAAAACAGTCACTTTCCCCCAAAGAGCTTATGGTCTAAACTGACAAGAGAAAGGGTGGGAGAAAGAAAGTATTACAATCCCCATTACAGATGTGAAACCGCACTTAATGTGAATAAGTGACTTGCCCAGAGACACACAGGAAGTCTGTCTCAGAAACTGAGCCCAGATCTCCCAAGTCCCACTCCCGTTTCTTAACCACAAGGTCATCCTTTGCCCTGGTGCATATGCCATCAGTGCCTCATCTACAGACAGACCGTGATAGGCAACATCTGTCAGCCAGCCACAGAGTCATTGCTGTGCGTAAGGGGGACTGAGGGGAGAATGGAGGGAGATTTCCTCTGACCAGTTGTGTAGAGATCCACAGGTTTGGGTCCCCAGCCGATGAAACAAAGCAATCGTACCCACTGTCTGCCTGTTCTGCCTCTCTGTTGGCCCCAGGCAGGGCAAAGATACTACATCAGAAACCTCCCTGAGTATAAGTTCTAAGGTAAGGGTTCCACTCCTGCACATTTCACATGGCACAGGTGGAAAGAGCTCCTGATCCCCAAAAGTGCCAGCGTATTTTTCAGAAGAAGAGGAGTTTCACAAGAATAGGAGAACTCAACTCGATGTTCTGCCCAATTCCAACCAGGATAGTTCCTTTCTGCTTACTTAGAACTCCCCCTGTAGCTCCAGTTGGATAGTTAGCCTCCACATTCCCTTCTACAATACTGGGGTGGTGGACTGCTGCTGGCACACAGTAGCTGCCAGAGTCCATCCAAGAGGTGGCTGCTCTTCAGGGGTGGATGAGCAATGGCTACGCCTACAGTCTGTTAAGGCATGTTGGGATCCTTGAAATTGAAAGCCTCCACTTCCATACAGCCTCTCTCATGAGAGTCATGCATTACTACTGGGACAAAGGTCAGGAACCAAATAATATTAATATTTAATTAAGTGGTTATATTGTGGTCACTTTGGTGCTGATCTCCATTAATAGGCTTTTCAAAACAGGCTCGGGGATGGCCTACTCTGCTCCTGTTGAAGTTGACTGGAGTTTGACCTTGGCTTTCAATGGGAACAGAGTTAGCTCAGTGCTGAGTGCTTTGGAAAACCTCATCCTAAGTCTTTATTAAACAAGGGTAGAGAGCACACTTCTACAGTGATACCAAGGAGTCAAGTGGCTGCGACCACCAACTGTGATGACAAGAACTCTATTGCCAAATAAGTCACACAATGTATTAATGGCCAAAAGAGACCAGGGAGGAATTGTGGACCAGTCACTAAGCTAGACCCCTGGGAGTCAGAAGAACTGGGTCCCATTCCTGGATGTGTCACTGTCACATTGTGTGACCTTGGGTGAGTCACTTAAGCTCTGTGGGTAAAATTTTCAAAAAACCCTTAGTGACAGCAGCTTAAGTCCCCTTTTCAAAAGTGGCTTAGGCACATAAGGGCCTAAATTCCAACTGACTTTCAATGAGACTTAGGCTCCTAATGGAACTTGGGTGCTTTTGTGCCTCAGTTTCCCCACCTGTAAGTTGGAGATCAGACTTACCTCTCTCTCATCAGTGTGATGAGCTTCAATTTTTTAATGCTAGGGCTTGTCTACCAATGAAATGCTACAATGGTACAGCTGCTTCAATGTAGACTCTCTCTACGCCAATGGGAGGGGTTCTCACATCAGCATATGTAATCCACCTCCCTAAGAGGCAGTAGCCAGGTGGACAGAAGAATTAGACCTTGTGCTCTCTACACCAGGGCTTAGGTAAATTTAACTATGTTGCTCAGGGGTGTGGATTTTTCACATCCCTGAGCAACGTAGCGGAATGGACCTAACTTTTTAGGCTAAACCAGGCCTCAGTAAACTAAATTTGAAATCCTCAGATGAAAGGTGCTGGCTCTTCGAGGGAGTAAGCTTATCTTCAGACTGGTCTATGAGGTGCTTAGCTCAGTGTTGGTGCTGTATTATTATAGGTTTCAGAGTAGCAGCTGTGTTAGTTTGTATTCGCAAAAAGAAAAGGAGTACTAGTGGCCCCTTAGAGACTAACCAGTTTATTTGAGCATAAGCTTTCGTGAGCTACAGCTCACTTCATCGGATGCATTCAGTGGAAAATACAGTGAGGAGATTTATATACACACAGAACATGAAACAATGGGTGTTACCATACACACTGTAATAAGAGTGATCACTTAAGATGAGCTATTACCAGCAGGAGAGCGGGGAAGGGGGTCGGGGGGGGGGGGGGGGAGATAATAGTAGTGATAATCAAGGTGGGCCATTTCCAACAGTTAACAGGAATGTCCAAGGAGCAGTGGGGGAAATAAACATGGGGAAATAGTTTTACTTTGTGTAATGACACACCCACTCCCAGTCTCTATTCAAGCCTAAGTTAATTGTATCCAGTTTGCAAATTAATTCCAATTCAGCAGTCTCTCGTTGGAGTCTGTTTTTGAAGTCTTTTTGTTTTAATATTGCGACCTTTAGGTCTGAGATCGAGTGACCAGAGACATTGAAGTGTTCTCCGACTGGTTTATGAATGTTATAATTCTTGACGTCTGATTTGTGTCCATTTATTCTTTTACGTAGAGACTGTCCAGTTTGACCAATGTACATTATGAGATGATTCTTACCTTTTAACTTTGCTGTCAGCTGGGCACAACCGGAGAGGGTAGAGTTTTTTATAACAAAGCTATTTCTTTGGATTGCCTTCCCCTGTGTTTGAAACTCACTATTTGATTTAGGAATGTACGTTTGTCATGTCTCTCTACTTCACCGGTCTAGCTCTATTTTGTCTGCTCTCTTAGGAGGAGGATGCACACACATGTGCCACAGACTCCACATGGGGGCTAGAGAAAAGCAGTTCAGACATGGGTGAATTAGAAAATAACCATTGTTGCAGCCCTTCCCTACTGTTCAGCAGATCTTGCTTGGCTCTTCTGTTTACTGAAGAGCAGCCATGTTAACTTACACTTACAAGCTTCACATTTTCTCCCAGTAAACGCAAGAGAGGAAAATATATCAAATTCTTCTAGGCTATATTACATGATCATAAGATATTACCCATAGTCATGGGACTGTCTAGGTGGTAGTGATCCAATTAGAAACCAAGGTTTCACTATTCTAGACCTCCAAGTTGTAACCCACTCTTATATAGTTATTTTAAATAAAGACTGAGCCCCTCTCCACATTACAGAATGCATTGTGGTACAACCATCATGTTCATAAAGGGACCGTTAAGCATAGTACAGCCACAACAAAAGGGAACAAGAACCATTTTTGAAATTCCTTGCAAGCCACGCTTGATTAAACACTCAATTTACTGGGGGGAGGAGGGGTTAGAAAATGTTTTTCAAAGTTGCAAAAATAAATAATTAAAAATCAATGCGAGAAGCTGGATCCTATAATAGCACAGTCAGATGGTAGTGCTGGGTGAAAATTTTCCACATCCAGACTGTTTTTCAGTAGAACATTTTCCACAGAAAGTTTAAATTTTCTGCAAAAACCTGACACTTAATTGTAAACCCCAAAATATTGGTTTTCAATGGAAAATGTTTGTTTTTTTGACAAAAGGTCAAAGTTTTCCACAGAATAGAAAGCCATTTTCTGACCAGCTCTACTAGATGGGTACAAAAAGTGTGTTACTAAGTATGCGAAATATTACTTGAAGCATAGATGAACAACGGTTCTCTCCTGGTGGTGGTGCGGTGGGGGTGTGTGTGTGTGCGTGTCCAGAGTCCTCTCCTAGCTTGTCAGGCTAGAGTTTCAGCATGTTTCTGCTAGCCTCTATGTCTTTCTCCCTCCCTTCTCTTGTCCTGCTTGATATAGGCTTCTTTCCTTTGATAAAGCAGTATAAAGCAGTATAAAGGTTACACAAAGCCAGTGACTTGACACTAGTTGACTCCCAGTAAAAAAGCATTTCTTTCAGTTGTCCAGCTAAGATGATCTTTTCCTATTATACAGGCACTCCCTTCTTTCTTTCTTTCTCTCTTTCATTTCCTATTACAAGAAAAACACACTTTAATATGGCTAAATGGAAACATATATAGAGGAACAAAAAACGTAGGCCAGACTTACAGGATGGGGGATTCTATCCTGAGAAGCCGAGACTCTGAAAAAGATTTGGGGGTCATGGTGGACAATCAGCTGAACATGAGCTCCCAGTGTGATGCTCTAGCCAAAAGCGCTAATTTGATCCTTGGATGCATAAACAGAAGAATCTTGAATAGGAGTAGAGAGATTATTTTATCTTTGTATTTGGCACTGGTACAACTGCTGCTGGAATACTGTGTCCACTTCTGGTACCCACAATTCAGGAAGGATGTTGATAAATTGAATAGGGTTCAGAGAAGAGCCACAAGAATGATTAAAGGATTAGAATACCTGACATAGTGATAGACTCGAGGAGCTCTATTTAATTTAACAAAGAAGGTTAAAGGGTGACTTAATCACACTCTAAGTACTGTGACAAAGTTCCTCCTCTACCTTGGTGGGTCTTGCGCTTATTGGCAGATTTGCTCGCCTCGGAGATTCATGTTAGCCTTCAGTTTGGCTGTTTTCATGAACCCACAGTCCAGGTCAACTCCTCCTGTGTCTGACCAGGAGCTGGGAGGTTTGGGGGGAATCTGAGCCCGCCCTCTACTCGGGGTTCCAGCCCATGGCCCTGTGGAATGCAGCTGGAACAGCTGGAACAGCTGTGCGACAGCTACAACGCCCTGGGCTACTTCCCCATAACCTCCTCTGAACACCTTCTTTATTCTCACCATAGGACCTTCCTCCTGGTGTCTGATAATGCTTGTACTCCTCAGTCCTCCAATAGTCCATGTTCTCACTCTCAGCTCCTAGTGCCTCTTGCTCCTAGCTCCTCACATGCGCCACAAACCGAAGTGAGGTCCTTTTTAAACCCAGGTGCCCTGATTAGCCTCCTTTAATTGATTCTAGCAGCTTCTTGATTGGCTGTAGGTGTTCTAATCAGCCTGTCTTAATTGTTTCCAGAAAGTTCCTGATTGTTCTGGAACCTTCCCTGTTACCTTACCCAGGGAAAGGGACCTACTTAACCTGGGGCTAATATATCTGCCTTCTATCACTCTCCTGTAGTCATCTGGCCCAACCCGGTCACAGTACCTAGGTGGGTAACAAGTATTTAACAATGGGCTCTTCAATCCATCAGAGAAAGGTAACATCATTCAATGGCTGAAAGTTGAAGCTAGCCAAATTCTGACCGGAAATAAGGAATAAGTTAGAACAGTGAATAATTAACTTACCAAGGGCTGTGCTGGATTCTCCATCGCTAACAATTTTTAAATCAAGATGGGATGTTTGTCTAAAAGATAAGCTCAAGGAATTGTTTTGGGGAAGTTCTATGGCCAGTGCTCTACAGGAGGTCAGACTAGATGATCACAGTAGTCCATTCTGGCCTTGGAATTTATGAATACTGTGTGTATTTAATTAAAGGTTCTTTCCCACTTACTTCTTCTGAACAATGATGCGACAAATGGGCTGGCAGAGTCTCAGTAGCTTGGGGATTGCCTTCAATATTTTTGGAGGGTGAGTATTTCATTACCAGGAAAATGGGGATAGCTCCCTTCACACACTAATATTATACAAAAGACTTAATAGAAACATAGTATGATTTCCAAAACAGTTGGCCAGATACTGTTTCCTTAGCTGGGGAAATCCATGTAGTCAATGGAACTGTGCAGATTTACAGTTGCTGAGGATCTGGCCCACCAAATGGTAATGAGGTTGACCCTGCACCCAAAGTCCATGGCAAGCTCTTGGAGAGGTCAGTGATGCAAAAATCAGGCTCAAAATTCATTATAGCAACTAGTACTGATATTGCAGAGACAGCACACGGTCATAGTCATGCCAATTTGTTTGCCAAACCAAGGACTTTTCACTGGCAGTATTTAGCAAAATAACTATGACCAGCAAGTGAAGTTCCTCAACTGTGTTCAGGGTTCAAATTGCAGGCTTTTAGCAACCAAGGTTTGTGTTTAATAATCCCAGTGAGATTGAGTCACCTCACTCTGATCAGAGAGCTAAAGTGAGAGTTATGTTTATTTAATAGGATCGTAACAACTGTGCTGGAGCAGACCCGATGTCCAGCTTATCCAGTGTCCTGGCTCTGACAAAGGGCAGTACTAGCTGCCTCGGAAGAAGGAAAAAGAATCCACACGAGAGGCAGCTATGGGATAACCTGCCACCCCCTGCCCCCACCCGGGAAAATTTTCTCCTAACCCAAAATAGTTAGAGTTTGGCTTATGGTATGGCCTGAAGTGTGAGGGTTCCAGAACTCCTTAAAAACATATTTACTTTTACAATGCTGGATATGCTTGTTTTCCATATAAATGTCCAATTTGTTTTTGAATACTGCTGTAGTCTTGGCCTCTAATACCATGTGGCAATGAGTTCCACAGGCTATGCTTTTACCATGTATGAAAAAAAATATTTCCTTATTTTAAAGTTGCTTCCTTCTAATTTCAGTTTATGTCCCCTTATTCTTATATTATAAGAAGAGGTGAATAGCTGTGGCCAATATACCTTCTCTACCCTTCATTATTATGTACACTTCTTTCATGTATCTTCTTACCCGTTTCTTCTTTAAGGTGAAGTAATATTGTGCATAATACTCTTCTCATGCAAGCATGTTTCAGAGGCAAGAATTTCTGTACTGTAATGTACAGAGTGTGTACATTTATTTCATGTGCTAACAGTAGCCTCATTTTCCATATTTATTATTCATAACACATTTGACACTAAAAACATTGATACATCTAGGCTTGGAAGGACTAGATTGGTAAATGTCAAGTTCACCGTGCACTCACAAACTGATGAAAAAATTGTATAATAGATTATAAAAATTTACAGGTAGGCAAATTAAAAACAGGCTGCTTGAGAACTTAGTAGAATTTGATTTAAGGATATTTACTTTGTATATTTTGACACAATGTTGAAAATTTATGTTTTAATGGTTATAAAGCTGAAACTTTTTGAATCTCAACATCTACTGTCATTAAATTATTGTCTAACCACCACATAATTTTCTGCAACTATGAAAACTTAAATTTATAAAAAAAATTTTAAAAATGCTTAAAACCATAATTTTGTGCAACTGTGAAAATTTACATAAATCAAAATAGAAAAAACTGCTTAAAAATAAACATCGCTATTATTCATCTAAATTATTAAAAAAATTAAAATAAAATTCTGCCATGCCTAAATACATCTATTTGTCGATGGAGACTAGCTCTCAGGTTAGGACAAGTCCTACTTTCCACCAATATCGTATCAGTTTCTTTTTAATATTCACCAGATACAAAGCATTTGAAGACAACAATAGCAAACTGTTGAATGACCACAGGAGTCCCAATAACAGTCTGATGGTTCTTTTACATACGGTGCCGTAGGTACTGTAGCCTTTGCCTAAGGCCACCCCGGCTGCATTCAGCAGCGCAGCATGTACACTCACATAGTTAACATTCGGCATGTAATTCTCTTACACAATGTCACATTTGTATTCTCAAAAGAAAGAGAGACTCTGGTAATGATTAAATAGCGATAACACATAAATAAATTGGACCTTCTCCCTTTCTCACTCTGGTTTTCAGCCAATGTGAAGAAAGCCTCCCAACTGAAAGCGCTTCAGGAGTTCTGGACTGATTCAAGCACAAAGACCCTGGTGCCTATGATGTCCATAACTGGAACATTTCAGTACAAGAGGGACGACAGCAAGAATTTTTCAGTAATCAAAGTTCCTGTCAGCGAGAACGCTTTCCTTGTGCTGGTGCAGCCTGTCAACAGCAATGACCTGAACCCAATAGAGTCGGAACTTTCCTTGCCTCCATCTTCGACTTGGCTGCAAAATCTGTCACCCAGGTATATTTAAATGTACAAACAAAATCTCACATAAGAATATAGGGATTACTAAACCAGAACAAGCCAATGGCCCATAGCTGGCCAGTTTCCTCTCTCTAACAGTGGCCAAATCCTTCCGAGGAAGGCATACCAACCCTTCTGAAACACAACACTGCATTTGGTTGTGCAACACTGTTACACCAGGAGATTCCAGAGGATGATCAGTTGTCTAGAAGCATGAGGAAAGCTAGCCCTTGTATTGCTCCTCGCTCGTATAACTATGTGTGCTCTCAAGTCACAACCTTTCACCCTTATTTTGTCCCCTCCTTTTACGTGTTGATAACCTGGATTCTGGAGTTACATCCTGGCTCCACTGAAGTCAATTGGAGTTCGACTTCAGTGGGGCCAAGATTTTACCCCTGGTATTTTGCCTCTTCCCAAAAAAGCAAAAAACAAACAAAAGCCTTGCTAGAACTGGTAATACAGGGCCCACCAATGTGGCTACTCATGCTTAAATTTAAACACTTACCTAAATGCTTTACTGGATCGGGGCCATATTTCATCAGCACTCCACCCATAATAATGGGCAAGTTACCCCTCAGAAACAGCACACATAGCTTCTATTGTTCTGTGACACTGAAAAATGATTATTCTTGTGTGCCTATATGCACAACACTTCTGCTTAGCCTCCCACTGGTTTTAAAATCCAAGGTCACTTTCCCCCCATGGATATTGGTGGAACAATAATCATTCATACCTTTCTTTTTTTAAATATATTTTCTACAGACATATTAAATTATCTTTGCCAGAGTTAACAATACAAAGCGCATATGACCTTCAGGAACTGCTCACAAACATGAATTTGTCTGCACTGCTGGGGAAGAAAGCAAATCTTACTAAAATAAGTGATGCCAATCTTACCGTTGGAAAGGTACAGTACATGCCATCTGTATTAAGAAACACCTTCACCCATGTATCTTGTCCAACCAAATGTATATAAATCAGCTAAAAATATAACACAACAAAAGGCAAGGACAGTGGTGTTGGGGAGGGAGGGGAGGGATGGGGAAGGGCCATACTGAATGGCCATGAAGAACAAAAGGAACTGCTCTGGGAACAACCCCCAGGCTGAAGTTTGTTTGCATAAACAGTTCAGACATCATCACTACTACATGCATTAAAATAGCACCACTATCAAAAAGTCAGGTTTGAGGTCCCATTGCACAAGGCGCTTTACAAAAATATAGGGAGACATGGTCCTGTCAATCATAAATAATGTAATAGAGCTCCAAGTGTGTCCATGAGCAGGAGCATGGTTTGACAAATGTATTCTGCTATGAATATTTCGGCAAGCTCAAACTGTAACCTCTGTTGCTGAGGGAGGGCTGTAGGTATTCGGCTATTCAGTGCCCGCCCTGAATATTCCAGAGCCCATGGGGCACAGGAGCTGCTATCTTACCTGAAACCTGCATCTGGAACATGGACACGCTAGACCAGTTTCTCTCAACCTTTTTAGTGCTTGCAGTGCACCTTGGACTTAAAAAAAACTTTTTTTTTTGATCCTCCCCTCCCCAAGCCTGAGCCCTACTGTCCAGGACTGAAGCATGTAACTTAGCTTCATAGGGCCCTCTGTGGTGGGGGCAATTGCCCTGCTTGTCATCCCCTAATGCCAGTCCTGCACTTGCGAACCCCCCACCCACCCATTCCACGACCCCCACGTTGAGCAACATTACACTAGACTTTTAAGATGACAACTGTGCATCAAATTGGGATGGTCTATTTATTTTACCTTGTTTTTGTGTTCATTTTTCCAAGTGGCATCATTTGTATGGTTACTACAGTCACACGCTGCTTTTATATAGCGCTATTCATATTCAAAGCACGGTACAACATCAACATCAACTAATTTCCATATAATCAATGGCTGATTTAATGTGTTACTAATGAATCTTCTTTCAAACCTTTAAAAGAATGATCCTTTGCAAGTTAATACCCAGGTAGATAGCTTCTGAGGCCTAGCTGAATTTCCAAAGTTGAGAGATGGTCACTGAGCAATGGAAGGAAAACTTCTGAATGCTGGGGTAGGTTTTTGTTGCTCCAAAAGTGCCATCCTGACTTTATATAACTGCCCCTATCAAGAACCCTCTCTCACCCTGTTAACAGGTAGTCATCCGAAAGGAGGCAGCACCTGGAACTTAAGTCAGAGGTAAAGTAGTAAGTCTGTACAGGAAACCAGTGCAATGAGGTTGTCAAAAGTGAGAGACATTACCTATTTGGGGGCAGAGAACTAACATCCAGACCTGAGGGGGAAGACTAGGGAGATGGTCTTTATATTCATGAAAAGGAGAAAAGCTTTCTTGGAGACAGCGTGTGACTTTACTCCTGATTTTTCTACCTCGATGGACTGACTAGGGTGAAATCTCACCCCATTGAAGTGAATAGGATTTCTATATTTAACCCATAGAATCAGGCTGAGTGTTTGCCTGGTTGTCTAGCTTTCTTTTTTTGGTGGGCGCGCTTTATTGGAACACACACCTCAATTATCTATAAACTGCATCTTATGTGTTTACTGCTGATCTCCATGTCACTGGTTATTACAAGTAAATGAAAATACTTCATAGGCGTTCATTTATCATCTCAATTTCATGCTCTGGTGACTCCAGATTCACTTAAATATTTGCTTTCCAGGTTATAAATAAGGCCCTTTTCAAACTGAAGAACGGAGTAGATCTACCAGAAGATCTCTTAGAAGAAAATGGAGGCTTGCTGCCACTGGAAGTAACACTGAACAAACCGTTCCTACTAGCCGTTTATGAGAAGAATTCAAAGGCAATGGTTTTAATTGGCAGAGTAACAAACCCACTGAACGGTGTTTAAAGCCAAGGGCTGCAGGGTGGGGAGGGGGGAGTGTCTATGAGCAGCTGTAGTCAGCTTTGAAATGAAGCAGATGGTATTTCAAATACAACTTTTAAAAGATAATATGCTAGTGATAATTGTGTATTCCCCCCCCCATTAGTCATCCACTGAGAGGGAGGAAAATCCTTTGTCTGTCTGTTTGGAACATGATGATTCCAGTGTGAAATCTTTATGGCACGAACAGCAACATTACAAGCTGCAGTGTGAAGTTTGACTGCTTAACGTAACTGGTGTTTTATTGCAGACAAATATAAAGAAGGGGTAACTTCAGCTCTTTTATACATTTGAAAAGTTGGGTGGTTTTGTGGGAGCAGCACAGCTTGTATTACAGAAGTAGTATTAAAACAATACCATGTGAGCATGCTTTTGGGATGTTTCTCTTCTCCCCACCCCCCATCCGAATGGAAAATAATATGTATTTCCTAACTGTATTGGGAAACTAAAATAAGGTTGGTTTGCACTGATGAGCTGAAAGAGCAATATTATTATACACACCTCTTTGGAAAGCCTTATTTTTCCACTAGAAAAGTTCAGATTATTTTTAAAACCACAAATTATTTAGACATCTACACTGAGAGCCATTTATTATACACATTTATGACCTTAAAGAAAGAGACCACTACGATTTGGGGCCCAGTTCTGTAATTCTTAACTCTCAGACTAGCTCTAGCTCCAGCACATAGTCCCATTGGAAGTAATTTGGACTTGTGACATGAGTAAGTGCCACTACATACGAGGCAAGGTTGCAGAACCAAGTTCCTGGGGCCAAATCAGTCAAGTCACTGAAGTCAATAGATTCCCTGTTGGCTCTGAATGGAGTTTAATCAGGCTCTTCGATCGTAAACTTGTGGAGGTAGGGGCTGTGGATGAAATCCTGGACCTACTGAAGCGAACGGCAGTTTTACCATGGATGTCAAAGGAGCCCGGATTTCACTCCTTGTCTGGCAACCTGTATGTAAAGCACGCACCACACTGCTGGCACTCTACAAATAGTGCTAAAATGCTCCAGACTGCAACCTTTTACAGACTGTCCTGGATCAGAGTAACTAATACAGCCGAGCCTGGGAAGACTATGACGTCAAATGCAGAATCTATTTACGTTTATTTGATTTGCTGCACGTATTCCAGAAGGCACTATAACATTTAACTATTGCGCGTGCATTGTACACACAAGCAACTTGTATGTTAAATATTCAGAACAGGGAGAAATTCACAAATAAAACATTTACAAATGGCTTTGTCAGTACTATAGTTATCGTACAGTTTATAACTGGATCCCTCATTCATTCCCACTTTTGAGATTTGCTGTAACTCTTAGCCCCGGTCTACACTAGGAGTTAAATCGATTTAACGCTGCTAAATTCAACCTAACGCTGCACCCGTCCACACAACGAAGCCTTTTTTCCCGACTTAAAGGGATCTTAAAATGGATTTCCTTACTCCACCCCCGACAAGGGGATTAGCGCTGAAATCGGCCTTGCCAGGTCGAATTTGGGGTACTGTGGACACAATTAGACAGTATTGACCTCCGGGAGCTATCCCAGAGTGCTCTATTGTGACCGCTCTGGACAGCGCTCTCAACTCAGATGCACTGGCCAGATAGACAGGAAAAGGCCCGCAAACTTTTGAATTTCAATTTCCTGTTTGGCCAGCGTGGCAAGCTGCAGGTGACCATGCAGAGCTCATCAGCAGAGGTGACCATGATGGAGTCCCAGAATCGCAAAAGAGCTCCAGCATGGACCGAACGGGAGGTGCGGGATCTGATCGCTGTATGGGGAGAGGAATCTGTGCTATCAGAACTATGTTCCAGTTTTCGAAATGCCAAAACGTTTGTCAAAATCTCCCAGGGCATGAAGGACAGAGGCCATCACAAGGACCCGAAACAGTGCCACGTGAAACTTAAGGAGCTGAGACAAGCCTACCAGAAAACCAGAGAGGTGAACGGCCGCTCCGGGTCACAGCCCAAAACATGCCGCTTCGATGATGAGCTGCATGCTATTTTAGGGGGTTCAACCACCACTACCCAGCCCTGGTGTTTGACTCCTTCAATGGAGATGGAGGCAACACGGAAGCAGGTTTTGGGGATGAGGAAGATGATGATGATGAGGTTGTAGATTGCTCACAGCAAGCAAGCGGAGAAACCGGTTTTCCCGACAGCCAGGAACTGTTTCTCACCCTGGACCTGGAGCCAGTACCCCCCGAACCCACCCAAGGCTGCCTCCCGGGCCTGCCAGGCGGAGAAGGGACCGCTGGTGAGTGTACCTTTTAAAATACTATACATGGTTTAAAAGCAAGCAAGTTTAATGATTAATTTGCCCTGGCATTCGTGGCTCTCCTGGATGTACTCCCAAAGCCTATGCAAAAGGTTTCTGGGGAGGGCAGCCTTATTCCATCCACCATGGTAGGACACTTTACCACTCCAGGCCAGTAGCACGTACTCGGGAATCATTGTAGAACAAAGCAGTGCAGTGTACGTTTGCTGGCGTTCAAACAACATCCGTTCTTTATCTCTCTCTTTTATCCTCAGGAGAGTGATATCATTCATGGTCATCTGGTTGAAATAGGGTGCTTTTCTTAAGGGGACATTCAGAGGTGCCCGTTCCTGCTGGGCTGTTTGACTGTGGCTGAACAGAAATGTTCCCCCGTTAGCCACAGGGAGGGGGGAGGCAAAATGCGAACTTGGAACAAAAGCACATGTACTATGTTTGTAATGTTAACAACAAGGTTTACTGTGAAAGAGTGTACCCATTGTTCTATAAAATGTGTCTTTTTAAATACCACTGTCCCTTTTTTTTTTCTCCACCAGCTGCATGTGTTTCAAGGATCACAGGATCTTCTCCTTCCCAGAGGCTAGCGAAGATTAGAAGGCGAAAAAAACGCACTTGCAATGAAATGTTCTCTGAGCTCATGCTGTCCTCCCACACTGATAGAGCACAGACGAATGCATGGAGGCAGACAATCTCAGAATGCAGGAAAGCACAAAATGACAGGGAGGAGAGGTGGCGGGCTGAGGAGAGTAAGTGGTGGGCTGAAGAGAGGGCTGAAGCTGAAAGGTGGTGGCAGCATGATGAGAGGAGGCAAGATTCAATGCTGAGGCTGCTGGAGGATCAAACTAATATGCTCCAGCGTATGGTTGAGCTGCAGGAAAGGCAGCAGGAGCACAGACCGCCGCTACAGCCCTTGTGTAACCAACCGCCCTCCTCCCCAAGTTCCATGGCCTCCTCACCCAGACGTCCAAGAATGCGGTGGGGGGGCCTCCGACCACCTAGCCACTCCACCCCAGAGGATTGCCCAAGCAACAGAAGGCTGGCATTCAATAAGTTTTAAACTTCTAAAGGCTGTGTGCCATTTTCCTTCCCTCCTCCACCACCCCCCCTGGTGCCTCTCTGCTCCACCACCCCTCCCGGGTTACCTTGGCAGTTATCCCCCTATTTGTGTGATGAATTAATAAAGAATGCATGAATGTGAAGCAACAACGACTTTATTGCCTCTGCAAGTGGTGATCGAAGGGAGGAGAGGGTGGTTAGCTTACAGGGAAGTAGAGTGAACCAAGGGGCGGAGGGAGGGAGGGTTCATCAATGAGAAACAAACAGAACTTTCACACCGTAGCCTGGCCAGTATGAAACTGGTTTTCAAAGCTTCTCTGATGCGCACCACGCCCTCCTGTGCTCTTCTAATCGCCGTGGTGTCTGGCTGCGCTTAACCAGTGGCCAGGTGATTTGCCTCAACCTCCCACCCCGCCATAAACGTCTCCCCCTTACTCTCATAGATATTGTGGAGTGCACAGCGAGCAGTAATAACAGTGGGAATACTGGTTTTGCTGAGGTCTAACCCAGTCAGTAAACTGCGCCAGCGCGCCTTTAAACGTCCAAATGCACATTCTACCACCATTCTGCACTTGCTCAGCCTGTATCATAGAATCATAGAATATCAGGGTTGGAAGGGACCTCAGGAGGTCATCTAGTCCAACCCCCTGCTCAAAAGCAGGACCAATCCCCAATTAAATCATCCCAGTCAGGGCTTTGTCAAGCCTGACCTTAAAAACTTCTAAGGAAGGAGATTCCACCACCTCCCTAGGCAACGCATTCCAGTGTTTCACCCCCCTCCTAGTGAAAAAGTTTTTCCTAATATCCAACCTAAACCTACCCCACTGCAACTTGAGACCATTACTCCTTGTCCTGTCCTCTTCTACCACTGAGAATAGTCTAGAACCATCTTCTCTGGAACCACCTCTCAGGTAGTTGAAAGCAGCTATCAAATCCCCCCTCATTCTTCTCTTCTGCAGACTAAACAATCCCAGTTCCCTCAGCCTCTCCTCATAAGTCATGTGTTCCAGACCCCTAATCATTTTTGTTGCCCTTCACTGGACTCTCTCCAATTTATCCACATCCTTCTTGTAGTGTGGGGCCCAAAACTGGACACAGTACTCCAGATGAGGCCTCACCAATGTCAAATAGAGGGGGACGATCCCGTCCCTCGATCTGCTCGTTATGCCCCTACTTATACATCCCAAAATGCCATAATAACAGAGGTCGGTTACAAGAGCACCCTGGACTACGTTGACGATGGCTACCAGTCATACTGCACTGTTTGCTGCCAAAAGGCAATAAACTGCTGCTGTGTAGCAATGCAGCACTACGTCTGCCAGCACCCAGGAGACATACGGTGATGGTTAGCTGAGCGGGCTCCATGCTTGCCATGGTATGGTGTCTGCACAGGTAACTCAAGTAAAAGGAGCAAACCGATTGTCTGCCCTTGCTTTCACAGAAGGAGGGAGGGAAGGAGGGCCTGATGATATGTACCCAGAACCACCCGCGACAATGTTTTAGCCCCATCAGGCACTGGGATTTCTACCCAGAATTCAAATGGGCGGCAGAGACTGTGGGAACTGTGGGATAGCTACCCACAGCGCAACGCTCCGGAAGTTGACGGTTGCCTCGGTACTGTGGATACATTCCGCTGACTACATGCACTTAGAGCATTTATGTGGGGACACACACAATCGACTGTATAAAAATGCTTTCTACAAACCGACTTCTATACATTCAACCTAATTTCATAGTGTAGGCATACCCATAGATTCACATTTTACAACAGAAGTTAAGCTGCAATTTAGCACACCATGCACACGGTCATAGTTGCCAGTGTAATATAGGCAACTGCCAAACTTTCAGAAATCTGTTATTGATTTTAAAATGTCCCTTATCATCAAAGCACAAGAGGTTTTATTTTCCTGGTGAAGATTGTATTATCCCACATGCATGACTCATTCAGCAAACAGAGAGCTCTCCTAGCCGTGCTGCTAGGGAGTTCCATAACAAGATAGCACTGTCCACAGACAAGGAATTCCATATTGTCTGACTTCCCTGCTCTGCCCAAGTAACAATTTTATTATGA